AGATCATTTATTCTAAGGATAACTTGCATTTAAAGATTAAATCCATGGTCGAACAGTTCTTTTGATCTGTTGTTTTCTCTTCAGTACATTTCAAGGGAAGTCATTAATGAATTCTGTACTGAATGCTCAAAAACTGCTTGAGGCATCATAAACGAAGGAATTTATATGGCTGCTGTGAAACAAATTTAGGTAGTTGGGGGGGTAGGGAAATTGTTATCTATCGAAGTCATATTTAACTGCATCAGAGATTTTTGTCAAGTGCAAATAATTTATATTTCTAACAGAAATATCTGAGTCATCTTTTTTGTGCAGCATCTTTAAAAACAGAAAAATCAAAGACAGTATGTTGCTTGTACAATGCAATACTATGAGATTTCTAGCATTACGTATATTTGGATGACCCGAATCAATATGACACCTGAAAGCTTCATTTCTCATCAGATTATTCGAGTTTTTACTCATATGTATGTCTCAATCACTTTGTTGTCCCTGTGATATCAAAAATGTTTAAAGCTGTGACTTATTATACAAAATTTCCTACATCTGTGCCAGTGTTTTGTTTAAACAGATACTTAAACTTCATCTTTGAATACTCCCGCACAATATCATTAAGGTTGCTATTAGCAAAACAATTTTCTACATAATGCTAAGACAAAAAGGCAATTTTATAACTACTTATATTGTAGAGTTTTTATCTTAATTAATGAGCCATTTCATTGATGGTCAAAATTAGTTTCAAACAGTTGTGCCTTTGAAGAGCAGTTGTATTTTTACAATTTCATGTCTATTATCTTAAAACAAGTGGACACATTTGTTCTCTGCTATAAAATAACAGCCTTGTTGGATATAATTAATATTGCAATTATCAAAAAGTTTTTCATCATGTCCTCAGAGCTTTTCTAACAAAAATTACAAACATCAAATTTTTTTTTTCCCGTACATGTGGTTGCCTTTACATGCTATCAGGTATAAACTGGGCACTGTCGTGAAATGCAGACATGGGAAAACACCTTACTTTGTCTGTCACACCTTTAACAGCCTGCTAAGTGATCTGTCTTTTGTTTGTTCGTGGTGTTGAGTTTCATTACGCATTATATTAGCATTAACTGATTTGACAACTACTGCAGCCAACTTGTGCTGCATCATTATTGAATTTTTGAGATGTAGATTACTTTTACAGTTTTTCTGCTACACTACTGTAATTAAGAATAGCAATATTGTAATTGGTTGTTTTGCTTTTTTGTACCTGGGTGTGATGTAATATTTTGGTTGATAAAACAAATTCTTGGTAGGAAAGTAGGTTATTTTTGGCCAGTGCCCTTGAAGTTTGAGCAACAAATTTACTTTTAAGCTGTGATTTTGATAGAAGTTGATTTAGCATTATTAATAATAGATACTTTGAACTTTGGAGTGCTGATATTTTATTTATATGTATGGGTTTGTAGGCTGGGATGGTGGACAAGTTCCCTCATTATACACTTGCTCTTGAGTCATGCACAGCTACCACTTCCTTTTTTCAGTAAGCACCCTGCTGAACATTGGTGTTCGGGGCCCTCCACTCTCCAGCTCTGTAGTGCTATTGTCACTGCTGACATCAAGGTCTTTTTGTCAGTGCTCAGCATGGCCACAGCAGCATCAGATCTTCCAGCTGTTCAGCTGCTGACAATAAAAGAAAACAGAGGTAAATCAAACCGGTTGTTCTGATACAGCCTTGGAATTAAAAGACCCACCAGAAAAAATACTAAACTGAACATGACTAACTACTGCACAACAAACAAATTCAAGTCTGAATGCAATTTTCATGGCGACAGTGCCAGTTGATTTTATAATGATACATGAAATATTAGAAAAACAAACCTTTGGGACAAATCAGTAGCCATAGGACTTCCTTGGGAGAGAGGCGTGAAGGTATGAAAGGGAAATGTTTTTATGATTGTGTCTCCAGTGGTTACCAAAGCTTTCCCACTCCCAAAACTGTCTGCACCATAAGTAAATGGTTGGCCTTGAAAATAACCGGGCGCAAAGTGGTTTGTGATACTGATAAATTATTTGCTTTTTAATTAATCAGTAAAGAGGCATGTCTTTCGACTATTTCAGTTATTGCATATTGTTGCATATGATTGCAGATTTTGGCTTGAACAAAACTTGCTATACAAATCCTGACAAAGAGATGTTGTGTCCAAAGGACTAAACTGGATCCACTACACCTTTATCTTGATAGTACTCCTATAATTGCCTCTTCTCTCTTCAGCACTTGAAAGGAATAAGCATGGTTAGGTTTTATATATTGTCTTTAAGTTGATAGGTCCCCTTTATTTCCAAATCACTGGGGCTGAAAATAAATGATTTTAAAGCAGAAACCAACAACAAACACGAACAAGAAGGCTCTTTGTCAGCATGCAGAACATACTTGTACACCATCTCACTACAGTGGAAGCTGTCACTAGGTTGCACCAATGAATGGGTTGTAAATTAAAATGCGAGGCAGCTAAATTGTTAGGACCTCAAAAAGCTTGTGCTGGCCGTAGGTAAATGCATTATGCTATAATTGGGTTTGGCAGAGAATACAATTTGAATGGTTTGTTTTCCTCTTTCTCTCAGGCCCTTAGCTGCAATTTTATTATCTGAGGGAATTCTGCTCTCACCAACTGTTGGCCTGATTTGGTATGCTATGTCAACAAGAGCCTCGGTTGATTGAATCTGTAACCACACATAGAGCGACAAAAGTGTTTACCAGCTTGATTCAGTGATACAGGATACAACTATCACTCTGGATTGAAATGTTTCCTCTGTTTCTGCTTTTTGGGTCTTCCCCCTCGGAGGGACAGTAATCAAGTACCATTTTATAAGCAGTGTCGATTAAACTGAGTCTGAACTTCACAGATAAATGAAAAAAGGCAGTAGACCAACTACAATACAAGTGCAGGGGTGGTGTAAAGGGAAAAAAACTCCAGATTAGTGGTGGTTGAAAGCCTCAGAATATTGCAATTGTTTTTTTGTGAACATCTCTCCCACTAAAAACAGCTGTGAAGCAAAGATATCGTTTTCATAACGTTTTAAGCGATTATTGGATGGACATACTTACAGTGGGTCCTCACAGGTGGTCATTAAAGGCAAGAATTGAGGAAACTGAGGCGTCTTTAATATGTCATTCATAGCAGCAACATCCATATGTTATTATTAGTTTTTTAATGCAGAATTGGTTTAAATGTAAGCTGTCGAGTGATCATTTCTGTCTATACAGCTTAAAACTCCACCAATGATCATGTTCCACTATGCAGATTGAGGCAGACAGTCAGTTGAACTAGGCCTTGTGATGCAGTAAATGAGGGCATCAAGCTCAGTTAGGCAGCACTATTCGCAGGTGAAGCTGAGGCAGAAATCTGCTAATGGAATTACAGTCTTTCCTTTGCATGGGTGTGTCGTTATAATTTGTATCCTTCCAATAATTGCTCCCAAACAGGCATTTCTTCATCTCATTTGGACTGGGAAACAAGAGTTGATAGTTTTCTGCCTTCAGGCCAAAAGCCCTTCCAGGCTGAGCTTTAAAACCTTTATATCAATATGCTGCTGGCTGCATAGAAAATGTGTGCATTCCGCGTTGCCTGATAAACATGTTGCAAGTACTTGGACCGTCTTTGTCAAATTGTGTGGACCCTCTATGTAAGGAGCATGCAGATGTGGAAGAGAAAGCAAATGAGGCTTAACAGGAGTACTCCAATTTGAAGACCTCGAAATTCACCAATTTTTCAGCAACCTCAGGGGATAAGGGAACGCACTGGATATCAGGGAAGGATAAAAGGAAGGAGTAACAAGTTTAGAAAAAGGTCTGAGTACAGACTCAGACCCATGTCTGTTATGAAGTCCACAGTTTTATTTCATATTGAGTTCAGTTCCCTTAATTTTTATCATTGCAGCTATTTTTATTTCACGCATGTCTAATTGGTTACATTACACAGTATAGATATATATAGAGCATAAATATTGACCCTTATATGGTATTATTCAAAACTGAATAAGAGACCCAGATTCATTCATATTCTCACCATGCCCAACATCAAGAGTAACATACCAACAAAGTACCAAAATACAAATTGCAGACAACTAATGGCAAAAGGCTGTTTGAGTGCTGACACACAAGGAGACATGCGTGTCTCAGTTAGAAAAATAAACTTTAATACAATCTGACCCTCTGGAAGCTGGTATGACCATTATCCAGAGGCAAGAACACAGCCTGGGAATGGAAACAAAGTAAAAAATGAAAGAAAAGAAATATATAAACGCTGTATTTATTCATATTTCCTTATTTTTTTCTACGACTGTAACTGCAGCAGCAAGTGCGTCTCATGACCCCTATACTGAAAAACAAAATAACAGCATCCTGAGAATGATAGAAAATCAATTATTCTGCAATATTTGTGCTTTGCATTTTTTTTTAAGCTTCCCCTCATCAACACTTCTTTTCTTAACTGAGCACATTAAAAATGGATTTTCCTCCTTTCAAGTTGAGATTCTTTGTGCCCCCCACCACACACACACACACACGCACACACACAGGCACACAACTTTCAGCTTCTGATGAACTTCCTGCTTGAATGAGCGCAATAGGTTTGAAAGTGAAATGGGACTTCATATCAAAGCTAGAAAAAGACTGTGCTTTGATTTTTTCACCCGCTACCCCCCTTTTTTCGCGCAAGGGATGTCATTGACTGCTCTTTTTCAAAGCAGCTTTATTTCATGCTTTTTCATCAAGTGCTACTCTCAGACACTGCTTCAAAACTATTTGAAACCATGGCCCATCACTCATCTGGCCTCTGTACATACTGTAACAGCATATCATGTTCATGAGATTGTAATTTGCGATAATTGTCAAGCTTTCCTCACTACTACCGATCTGCAAGATTAATAAATGCCTAACCCAGTCTCCTCTGTTTCACAGTACATCTTGGTTACGGCACTGTTTTGTGTTCTACAGTTCTTTGTTTTTCTCTCTTCTTCAGGTCAGTTCCTCTGGGTGAACAATTCAGCCTTTGGGGGGCCCTGGGTGCTCAGTCCTTGGCTGTGGGGGGGGAAAGGTCCCTGTAGCCTGGACATGGCCATGTTCCTCCACCCCAGGCAAAGTGGGCAGTACACCATATGGCTCATAGAGCGCGACAAACCGCCACTAGCCCTCTTCTCTACCGACACCCTCCCAAGCATCACAGGGTAAGCGCTTGTTTTGTACATATACAGTAGATTAGGAGTGTTAATTTCTGAGCTTGGTTATACTAAATATAAATGTAAACCCTTGGTGCATCATTACCTTCCACCTGCAACTGAGTTGTAATCGTATATTCATGCCAGCCACAGGCCTCATCATGAATACCCTGTTCCCAAACCTGTGTAAATGTTTTCTATTAGAGGTCAAGATAGAAGATATTCAGCAAAATCAAATGATGACACCCTCATTGAAATCCTTTTTATATGGAGATTGTCTAAGACGAAGAGAGAACTGGCTGGATAAGAAGGGAGGATAGGTCGTTTAAAACATGCAATTTGCTTTCACAGCAGCTGGGCATCAATCGACAATTATTGCATTCATGTAACCTTCTTGTAAGCTTTAATTAACGCCAGGTACGTGCCTTTCATTGGAGCTTTTACCGGGATCTGTCTCACTGAGAGTAACAGGGTGACAGAGGCCAGCACAGTACTCAGCCCAGAAGCTTCTCCTCTAAACACTTAGTATGTGTGGTTGTATTCGTGGGCGGCTGTACCTCACTTAAGGTTTTAGCATGCTGCTACGGACACATTTCATGTTGCTTGTGTGTGTAATCTCCTTCAATCTCTCTCAGGGTATTGGAATCATATGAATGTCATGCTTTATGCGTCTCCCCTGTCCCTCTAGCTTTTTGAATGGGGGAGTGAATGTGCGTTAATTTGCATGTGTGCTTATGCAAACGCTCACACTGGTGTGTCTTCTTAAGGGAGCATAATGTGGATGCACTCATTACATGTGTGACGGATTAGACTGTGCGTTTGTGTGCTCTCATTTGTAGTCAGAGCCTGCCATACGCCCACACCGTCTCTGCCGTTTGGAGACTCGCCCACATTTCCACCGTGATGGGGGGACGCTCATAAAAAGAGAGGGCAAAAACAAAGGCAAGAAGAGCCACTTGCAGACATTAGGAGAGTTGGTCAGCTTACTAATTGCCAACCTGTGCCCTTGCCTTTGAATTTTAATGCTGTGTTTTGACACGTCTGCCCGAATCAATGGTCAGGGCATTTAGCACAGGGGTTAGCCAAGAGGGAAACAAAACATCCCTTTACACAATGGTCATTTAGCTAGGTCTCCGTTACTTGAAGGTAGATTAAAACTTATTAAGCTATGTTCAAAACAAGCAGTAGATAATTGTTGCAAAACAAAAAACATTGTAAATACAGAAATAAGCTGTGGCTCTGTGTGCCTTTTAAGTTAAGGGTTTAAAACATTATATTCAGGTAAACTTATTATTAATGTATTAAGATGGTTAATAGGTTGAAACACAGACAGCATATACAAACAAAACCAAACATCCCATATCACAACTATGTTCCATGACCGTACAGTCCTGCAGTAGTTACCCATTTATTTCTCTGTATTGATTCTTCTCAACAGTGAATTTATCAGTGGAAATTGTCTAATCAAGAATCCTCTGATTAACTCCAAAACAAGTGTTCAAGCTCCACTACAGCCACCAGCTTTGGTGGAGTGAGCACTTGCTTTGAAACCCACACAAAAACCTGCATTGTGTTAATATTGCATCACATGGAATTGTCCAATCACAAAAAAATCTTTACTTGAGAGTTAATTATCAATGGCTAATGCTTCATCCTCAACAAATACTTTGAAATAACAGTAAAAAAAAAAAAGATACTTGCTTTTTGCTGCATATTGAAAAACAATGACAGTGTACATATAGTGACAAAAATATTTTAAACAGCTCAAGATTGTAACCTACTGAGCATGTCTAGCATTTCACCTTACCAAATCCGTGCTGGACACTTAAATAAACCAGATACTACTCCTCTGCTCCTCTTTCAAGACCAAAACATCAAAGTTTAACAAGCAGCCTGTGGAAGAATGTCACTTTGACAGAATGCTAATGGTGATGCAACATGGAGCTAAACTTTGGTCCATTAAACATATTAATCATTCATTTGTTTCAACCTGACTTTAAAGGGAACAAGTCAAAGTGGTTTACCCAAGTGAATTAAGTGAACCTTATCACAAATGGTACTGATTAAGGCTCTGGTGTAGTTAGGAGAATCTGTCTTCCCACTACTATGCAAGTAGAATTTAAGGGTTAGCTCTTTATTGCACCTACCCTTGAACCTCTGCCTCAGATTTCATCATACACTCTCTAACGATACCTGAGGGAAGCATATTTAGGACCTCTGAACGCAGCCAGAGAAGGACTTGACTCATCAAACGGTGTCAGGGCTCACAGTGAATGTCAGCATCCCAAGTTTTTCAGTCAGCATTGAAAGAGAGGCAGGGCATGAGAGAGGGCTGCAAGATTATGAATTTGTGTATTCGTAGTGAAATGTCTTCATATGAATTGTGTTTGCACATGCATGTATATGATGAGTCACTGTTAGTACAGTGACAGTATCTACATGGTAAATTATCAGGGCAGCAGTACACTTTGTGGGTGAGGTAGCTGAAATCACAGGAAAGGCATTACGAACCACAACCACAACTCTGGCTCTCCCTACGTTTTTTTTTTATAGTATTACCTCATACAACATCTGCACAGTACAGTAATAATAACCATGCACATGTCGCACATGTACATACAGTATGCATTCATTGTCTTTACATTTTCCGCACAGTGCAATCAGTATATGTACCAGAACCACAAAGTATGACAAAATGCAATCCTGCATTACTGTGGAATGTGTTGGATGTCATTTAAACCGCACCATTAGAGCAGTATCATCTTAAAACTGATCCATAGCTTGTGTAATGTGAGGGAAGGAAGCATCAAAGAAGGCAAGTGTTAATGCTAAATTCTGACATTCAGTAGGAACATTATGGCAAGTGATATATGATATAATATTAACTGCACTGCGCATTCTCCCCTACATAAAGTCTGCATATTAAAGTAAGTACAACCCCGGTGTGTTAGGAAAAAGAATTAGATGAGCAACACTAAATCCTGTTGTTACAAAGAAATTAACTGAACATGATTTGCCTAGCAGTACAGTAAAATGTTTTCAGTCTTTGTTTAAAAAGTATGAATACATGAACCAAAATAAGGCTTAACAGTAGATACAGTCTGTATGTGCATGGACAACTGAAAAATTTCATTTTAACTGTCATGGCCATGATGAAAGGTGTCCTACACAATGGAGACAGTTGGCTGGAATAAAAAGAACAGCTGCATTTTTTTTCCAAATTGAACCAGCTGTAATCCCTGTAAGTAAAGGATTATTCTTGCCACTAATTTAATTATTCAATTTACAGTCCCATAAATGAAATTAAAAGCAGCCTCAACACTGACATCATATTCGTCTATGTATTCAAAGTAGATACACTCAGCAAGTTGAATAATGGCCAACTGCTCCATTACTTAGCTTCTAAATTGAAATAAAGAAATCTATGTAAACTGTGTATTAGGTTTCTGGAATGAAGAAAAATGCTTTTAACTCTCACTAGTCGCACGTTCAATACCTATATGTGATAATATAAAGACATGGTCATGACTACATTTAGTGTATGGAAACACATACTGCAGCACTTCCATGAGTGCAACCAGGGAAGTTTCATTGTTTAGTTATTCAGGTGTTATGTTTTCAGGTTGTTCGTCCATAAGTCCATCTGTCTGGACATCCATTTTATTGGACTCAAGGATGACCTGACCAGATTTTGATGGTCAAAGGTCAAGGTCATGGAGACCTCACAAAACATGGTTGTGGCCTTGTGAACACGATATCTCAACAACGCCTCAGGGGAATCCCTTCAAATTTGACACAAATGTCCATTCGGACTCAAGGATGGACTGATTACACTTTGATAGTGAAAGGTCAAGGTGATATCTGAATGTGATATCTCAAGAAAGCTTTGACGGAGTTTCTTGAGATTCGGTCCAAACATTCACTCAGACTCAAAGATGAACTGATGAGATTTTGGTGGTCAGAGGTCTAAGTTGAAGGTCATGGGGACCTCATGTTCCTGTGAATGTGATATCTCAGGAACACTCAGAGGGAATTTCATTACATCTGGCACAAACTGACCTCACAAAACATGTCTGAGGTCATGTCTGTGGTTGCATTATGTAGTGGCAGCAATAGGGCGTCCTTTCACTTTGAGTTTGTTGGATAAGTAGACTTTTGACGTAATATGAGCCATGTAAGTGAAAAAGTTTTTGTTTTTGGCCCTTGGATTTTATCATAGCCACTTATGATTAACTTCAAAAACAAAAAATAAAAAAATAATTGGCTATTACCCTAAATTAATTTTATTGGAGCTTTACACCTTTTTGTTTAAATGCTATGGTAATCATGCCATAGGATTGTCTAATATAGGTGTAATAATCTATTTTATGCAATAATATTTATTCATTATGACATTTATGTTTGCTCAGTGCGACAATGTTTTCTGTTACCACACAGTCAAAATTCTCAGTGAAACTGGAGTAATAATACATCCACTCCACAGAGAATCTTTGAAAGCCATGTTTTGTGGGTCCTTCAGTGAATGGAGCTAAACTAGAGTGAGAGAGATGGGTCACCTCGAGGCCTTCTCATTGGCAAAGCAGTGCATTCATCCCTGGCAGGCCTTTACAACGCCTCAGCTCTTCCACTTAGTGCTCGCCAGAGCTGACCTCCAGCTCTCGGACTGTGGTCGCCACAGGGCTGGGGCTGATGGGATCCTCATAGCTCTGGATCTGGGAGTGCTGCCAGTAGAAAATCTGCAATTGCTAGAGCTCATTTGGAGAAGAGACAAAGGCAGTTTTTGAGCTATGATTTTCAGCTCTTTGGCCAATAGTGTTGTACATAACGTCTCAAGGACAGTGCCATATATGGTGTGTGATATGCTAGTAGATGTGCAGTTGCGTCCCAAGATGCCATAGATTCCATTAAACCTCAGATGCTTTTGCTCAGAATGTTCTGGTTCAAGGTGAAATTGTGTTCTTTAAGAATTGACAATTTGGGCTTTTTACTTTATCAGGCAGCGTATATAG